AGGTTGCCGATCGGCTTGCTGATGTCAGCCCTAATACTGTTAGGAAACAGGTAAATGCGTTTCTCGCAACGCGACTACATGTCTTACGACATGTGCAAGATGCAATGGCTGATAGTCAAGATAAACAAAAGGAATATGCAGATGCGAAAGGCAGAGGTTGTATTAATGATTATGAGGTCGGAGACCAAGTATTACTTAATGCTAAAAACCTACCTACCAATGTAGTATCCGCTGTCTTTAAGACGAAGTTGCGTCCGCGCTTTATCGGAACCTTTAAGGTCATTGCCAAGAAAGGCACAGCGTATACGCTTAACTTGCCGCGCAAATTGCGTACACATCCTGTGTTCTATGTCGCCATGCTAAAACCTTATCGGGATCCGTCCCAAATAGACGCTAAGGCGCTCGCGCCGGGCCCATTGGCATTGTCGCGGGACGGAGCATCTGCACCAACAAGTCAAGTTGACCCTGCATTCGGGTCCGACTCTCTTCCAGGGACTCAAGCCGGGAGTTCATCGTCTGCCTCTCCTCACGAAGGGTCCGCACCTCCTGAACAAGCTCGGCATGAGCTTGTTCCGATACACCGACCTCCTCCTCCTTTGCTCGATGCGCAGGGGAACCTGCAGTTCCATGTGGAGCGTCTACTGCAGAAGCGTCGCCGCCATGGTCAAAACCAGTATCTGGTGAAATGGCGGGGTTATCCCGAATCATGGAATTCATGGGAATTTGAGACTCCCCTTCGGCAGGATTGCCCGTACGCCGTGGACGTTTTTGAGCGTCGTGCGCAGGGTCTGTCTGTTGGCGCTGACGCTTCTCACCAGTAAGGGTGAGGGTAGGCGGGTTAGCGGCCTCGGGCTGTCGTGAACTCGCGGCTACAGGGATAGCCGAAACATTGGGCTGCTGGGCAGCAGGCGCATAATGCGTTCGTTGGGATTTCAATTTCCCCCGGGCCTTCAATTTAGCGTAATCATAACGCATCTTCCGCTCAAGTCGAACATCTGCCACATCGGCACTTGCCCGTAGGGCCCACATGCTGCTTAAACGTCGCGCATAATGCGCCCAGCGGCTGAAAGCCGTGTCTTCTTCGTCCTCGGTTTCCCCCGCGAACAGAAGGATGGGAACACCCTTCATCGGAGGAACTGGCGCACCGCGCACTTGCCTATTAAGGCGTGCCAAGTATTGGCTTTGAGTAGTGATATGGGGCTCCAGATACCGTTGTCGAAGTGCCGTGCGTGTGGCAACATCCTCAGGTGAAATGGCCTCAGGCCCAATGGTCCAACCAGAAAGGGAATGCCCAGATGCTTCCTTTAGACGTTCTTCCACCGTAGGTGGCTTGAACCTGTACTGTCGGTGGTCCTGCAGCCGCGTCATGTTCTTCGTTCGGCGCTTGGCGCCTTCCTCTTGGTCGATGGACCGCTGTTGCTGCTCGTCGAGTGGATTGGTAACCGTTACCGTTGATGATACGTCAGGCGGGTCACGTAACGCTGTTAGCGCATCTGCTGCACCACGTTTAGGGAACGGATTCGGTGCATGACGAGTGTCATCTTCACCCGTGAGGGTGGCTAAAGGGGACTCATCGGGTCCCACAAAAACGGTGTCACTTTCGTAATCAACCGCTTCGTCAAGGTCGTCCTCAATGAGGTCCCTAAGAGTGTGTGACTCACTGCCGGGAGGCGTCATGTTGTGTGCCGTGAACAAACCGTGAGGTTTTAAAAGTTCGCTAAAGCACTACCTCTATGAGGAAAGATGTCGAGTGACATTCTATGGGAACGTCAGTCTGGTGGGGGAGGGTGTAACGGGGTTACACGACGGTTGTAACGTCTTTCCGAGAGTTTACGCTTAAACTCTCCTTTGTATTGCATATAATGCATTATTATACTTCTCGTTAGAGAGGTATTAAGTATGAGCGTTATAATACGGTATTCGGTAATACCGTATCTTACCGATTAGGATTCGATGAATCGATAACGCTCCATTAAGTACATCATACACAGATGTTAAGACGATACGTCGTTCAATAGCAAAGTCTGCATATAATAACTACTATTATAGTAATTAATCTAGTGTAGTGTACTTAAAGTAGGACTATTCATAATATCTTAAAGCATAAATAAAATCAGTTCTCCTTTTGAGTTTAAGACCACAAGTCGTTCTGACTTGTTCTCTTGTGCACTTCGTGCGTTGGTTCTCTGAACCCTAAGCTTCTAGCTTGCTCTTGCACTCTGTGCGTTGGTTCTATGAACCTTAAGCTTATTGCTTGCTGACTAAGAGTCCCTCCTACTTCCTTAAGAGGGTGACTTTAACGTCGAATACTTAGTTCCTTAGAACTAAGTGGCTTTTAGCCTTAACTCTATTTAGTTCTCTCGAACTAAGAGGCTTCCAGCCGAAAGTCTTCCTCTGGCTAAAGAGCTGTGCAGCTCCGCTACAAAATTCCTCTAGAATATTTACACAAAAGACGCTCCAGGAGTTGTATCATTGGAGGAGGCATTGTCTTAGCATCAGAGACTTCCCACCAACGTAGTACTCTGTATATCACACCGAATACGCGTTGGTTGTGGCCGAACTACCTGAAAGATGACGTTGCTGCGAGTGGGTCTTCTGCGCCTACCTCTTTAGTAAAAAAGGGTCTCCTAAAGAGAAAGACGACGAAATAGAAGCTTGCTGCAATTGCAACACGAGGTAACGTATTCACTCTCCAAGCCAAAAGTTATGATTGTTATCAAAAACTAAATGCACAAGCAAAAAAACAATAAATAACGCGCGACGAGCTTAAACCAAATGTATTCAGATATGTCAGCACTAGCCGGTGCCGAATGTCAGTCCCTGAAGCACCTTCAGGATCAGAGATGACCTCTAGTGAAGGTGTATTACTGAAGTCATAGTTTACACACGCAAGGGAAATTCCTCTAGAATATTTACACAAAAGACGCCCAGGAGTTGTAACGGAATCCGCACTCGAACGCACTCACAAACAACTTGTTGATTTTAAGGTAAGTCTAGGACTGCCTGTACTGCACTAATGACTTCCTCAGACAATCATTCTAGAATCTTCTTAAACTTACTTCTTCAACTTCAACTTACCTCTTCAACTGCAACTTCAACTTCGACTTACTTCCTCTGTATCTAAAGTAGGTGCGGTTTCCAACACGCCTTCCTCCAAAATTAGTCCGTCACTTTGGATAGCTGCTGCTTAGATAAACAGATCATAGCGCATAACTTCTCAAGTCTGTCGCTTGCCAGAGGTTTCGTCATAATGTCGGATGGGTTGACATCGGTCTTGACCTTCCACAAATCCACATTTTTCTTCGCAACTTGATCTCGGACGTAATGCCAGCGAAGCTCAATGTGCCTTGTTCTGCGGCTGTAGGTCGGATTCGTTGCCATTACAAAGGCGGCTTGATTGTCGATACCCATACGAATTTTAGTTTCCATTTCAGGGAACACTTGTATCAGGACGTTTCGGAGTCCTTGGCCTTCCATACAAGCTTCATACGCGGCGACATATTCTGCCTCTGCAGTTGATTGGGCCACAATTGTCTGGCGTCTAGAAGCCCACGAAATTGCCCCCCCCAGCAAGGCAGTGCACAAAACCGGTGATCGACTTACGCGTATCACGGTCGTTTCCCCAATCTGCGTCACAATAGCCATCAATAATATAGTCTTGCTTTCTTCTCTGCCTTGTTTCGAGAGTACACAATGCCTTGACCCTTAGTACCAATTAAGTACCTAAGTACTCTTTTTGCAGCGCCAATATGCTGCTGCGTTGGGCTTTGCACATAGCGGCTGAGCTGTCCGACGGAAAATGCGAGATCTGGTCTGGTGCAAGACGTCAGGTACATGAGCGATCCGATTAGCTCGCGATACGGAAATAACTTCCCGTTTGCGGGAACTTCCTTCCGCCGATCCGTATTTGTATCCTCTACAGTCAGACGCATGTTTGTTTCCATTGGGATTCGGCTTGAATGAGTCTTACTAAAGTCAAAGCGCTCAATAATCTCTTCACAATACTTCTTCTGGTGGATTTTAATAGCGTCACTCGTTTGCTCAACTTGCACACCCAAATATGTGTTAAGTAGGCCTTGGTCCTTTAGCCCGTAATTCTTGTCAAGCCTCTCGAACATTTCCTGCTTGAACTCCGCGTTCTTGGTTGCGCACAAAGTATCATCCACATAGAGGAGGACGATCGCAAATATGCCATCATGGTCATAGAAGTAGAGGCATGGCTCCGTTTCACACTGCTTAAATCCATAATCAATAAACCAGCTATTCACCTCCGTATTCCACTCTCTTCCTGGCTGTCGTAGTCCATACAATGCCTTGTCGATGACATATATCATCCCTTTGTCTTCACACGGGTAGCCCTCAACTTCTTCCGAATACTGTTTTATGCCTAATGTTGCATTTAGGTAGGCTGTGTTAATGTCACCCTTGTATATTACCATGTCCCGTATGATGCACACCGCAATAAACATCCGAAACGTGGCCATGCGTGCCACAGGAGAAAAGGTGTCCTTGAAATCGATACCCGGTCGCTGCTTGTCACCTCGTGCAACAACGCGTGCCTTAAATCTCACCACGTAGCCCAAGTGATCCGTATTCACGGCAAAAACCCACATCGTGTTGATGGTTCGGTGATCAGTCGGCATCTCTGACCGCGAAATTTGTCTCAGTACTTCTTTTGCTCTCAGAGCATCAATCTCCATGTCCATTGCCTCTCGCCATAATTTAGCATGCTTCGATCGCATAGCCTGCCTGTAATTCTTTGGTATCTTGACGTCTGTTGCGCGCAATCCACGTCTGCCTCGGCTATCCTCATGTAAGGTCTTGAATGCAGAATACACCTTGTAATCCTCAAACCTTTCGGGCTGTTGTTGCTCTCCACTATTCAGAAGCTTTGAGCGCCGTGCTGCAGCAACCATCAGTCGTTTTGCTTGTAACTTGGTACGCTTCTTGTCGCGCGTCCGTCGAATTTCTTCGTCTCTAGGGTGTATATGACCAATCAGTTAGTTTGATGGGATTGTCAATTGTCGCTCGGTAACTTGATCGTCGTAAGCTTCACGTTCATCATTTGGGTCGAAGAGATAGTCCCACTTGTTTGCATCTGTACCGGATTCATATCCAGCGTCGTCGACTGAGACCAGATCCGTAACGTGACCCACTGACTCGATATCCGCCACATTACAATCGTAATCAAGTTTACTATCTCCGATGTCGTATTCGATAATGTGACGATCCAATATGTCATCTAAATCACCTTCGTCGCTGTCAAATTCGTTAGTGTCAGCCCGTGCGATAGCAACTCCATCGTTTTCGTCACCATCATGCTCTGCGATGCTAGACTTCGCCACCTCGTCTTCAGCGTATTCATCACTCTCTGCGTTGTCTATGTCTGAATATGCGACATCATCTTCTCCACACCTAGATCCTTCATCGTCTTCGGAGTCATGTTCATTTTCTGTGCTGAGACTTTCTGCAACTTGGACCGAAAACTCCTTCTCTTGATCGACATCCGATATGGCAGTTTCTCCTTCTTGTACTTCACTAGACGATTCGTAATCGGGTAGAAGGCTATTTTGCAGTATGTCGTCCCATGTACGTCGATCGATACTCGTTAATTTCTCGTCATATCTCTCATTCACTTCGCTGTCGTTTACTGCTTCGCTGTACGATACCATATCATTCCATACATTTCGATCAGCCTCATCTAGGCTGCTTTTAGCCGAGACCATCTCAACATTACTGCATACGCGCTGCTCTGATTCAATGTAATATTCGGCTAGTTGGGAAGCGCTGTCTTGGTCATCATCCGCATATGCAACAAGCTAGCCTTCCTCCAGTGACTCATTCAACGTATGCAGCCATTTCTTGACCTTTGTGGGGTATGAGCTCTCATAGCGATCCTTGTATTTGACTAATTTATTGATCTTCACGTCCGATACGAAGCCTTTCTTGTGTTCCGTCGGGAAATACACGTGACAACCGACAACATCCTCTCGGTAGCCTAGCAGAAAACCCATTCTGCAGTTCATATTTAATTTTCTCTTCTTCGACACTGGGACATGGCAGTAGGTTAATGAACCAAACGATCTCACGTGATGGATGTCCGGTTTTGACCCAAAGACGGTTTCATAAGGCGTGCATCCTGCACCCTTGCAATACACCCTGATCTTTACATACACAGCATTTTCTAGTGCGTGCACCCAAAAGTACTTTGGGAATCCAGACTGGTGCATCATTGTCTGATCCATTCCTATCAGTGTCTGATGCGTTCGCTCCACCAAATTTAGCTGAGACGCCTTTGGACCAACCTTAGTGTGCACAATTCCATGTTCGGTATACCAGGTCTCCATCGTCCCATTGCAGAACTCTTGTCCCTTGTCAGTCAGTACTTGACGTACCAAACATTGTTGGTCTGCATTACCTTCAGTTACTTCACGAGAAATGATTCGATCAACTCGATTTGCATGTTGTCGCTCAGCTTACTTTATATAATTCTTTATATGTTGGTTCACTTCGCCCTCGGTCTTAGACTTCAACAAATAGGTCTTCACGTAGCGCGAGAAGCCATCCATGACCACTAGAACCGCGGAATATGGTGATCCATTACTCACCCCAGGTATAAGTAAGTCAGCGAAAATAACATCATTCACTCTCGTGATGTTCCTGTCGAGTGTCTTACGGTATGTCTTTCTGCGTTGCTTGCCGAAGTGGCAATCCGCACAGTCAACTTTACCCCGGCGTTGAAGCATGATACCCTTAGCTAATCCACAATCAACCATCAGCCTGATGTACTCTGGACATACATGTCCAAGTCTTCCATGCCAGACGTCAATGTCTGCAACACCATCCGTAACAGCAAAGTTTGCAAATACTGTCTTCTTGTCTTTAATGCGGCCCTTTATGTTCACACAACTGCTGATGTTGTGAGTCAAAAATGTCCACAGGTGGTTTTCATAAGACGTTCGAATCACATCTGCTCCATCTTTCATCATTCCGAACAATCGCGCATCATTTTCCCACGTCATCTTAAATCCTTGGTCTAGTGATAACCCAGGTGAAAAAAGGTTGCAGCCAGCACTTGGGACGTACAAAACATCCTCAATCATCAACATCACCATTTGCTCGTCAACCATAGCTTCAAGAAGGATAGTCCCAAATCCTTCCGCTTTGGCATCGACGCCGTCAGCAAACCTCGAGATAGTTGGGTTCCACTCGCTATCTTCCATGCTTTGCAGCGTCGTGAAGTACTCTTTGCACGCTGTGATATGTGCATTGGACCCCGTGTCAAAGTACCATCGACAAGGTTCATAGTCTTTATCGACAAGCTTGACAACTTCTCCAATCACGACTTCACGCTTTTGTGCATCTTCACTTTCATCGTCCCGATTTTCTTTGACTCCTTGTTCTAATGGTGTCCCGCCTGAACACGCGTAATTTGTTCTTGCGTTCTTCTTTCCATCCAGATCCGGGCAATCACGTTTAAAATGATCCCCACCACAATTATAACAACCATCACTCCTTGTCTTGGTTGCTGGCTTCTTGTCCAAAGGTTTGTGTGGCCCCCTACCTTGTTTACTGCCACCGTGCTTGCCCTGGGTCCTCTTTCGCTCCTTGTAGCCGAAGATATTACCTTCCCAGTCTTCACTTCTCGATTCAGCAGTAATGATCATCTCTCGAAGTAGATCTGGTGTGTACTTCGTCATATTAGAGCTGAATAAGACTTTGCGTCGTAATTCATCATAGCACGTTAGTGCCGGAAGACTTCGCAGCATTCGATTCACCATCTGCAAGTCATTCACGGGCGAGCCTAAATTCGCAAGTTGATTTTTAATATCAAAAAGCTTGTGTAGGTGGCTTCGCACGTTGCCCTTTCCACGCATGTGAGTCCTGTGTAGCTCGCCTTGTAAACGATACACCTTCTGCGCGGTCATAGCAGGATTTGGCTTGCCCTCATATATCGATACGAGTTCGGACCACATCTCCGTGCCTGTCCCTTTCATCATCACTTGCTTCGCAAGTTTCATCGAAAGCGATCCTTGAATCAATATCTTGATCTTCGCTTGCTTCTTCTTGAATTCACCTTTCTGTTCAGCATTCCAAGTATCGTCCAAAGTCTCCTTTCCGATAGCGATCTGATCCAATAAGCTCTCCTCGAAAGCATTAATCATGGCATGCTTGTAGAAAGTCCAGTCGTCTCCGTTCCAGCGAACTGGAGTCCCCGATGAACCGATTTTAAAGCCTTTACGCTTGCCTGTGTCGCTGTCAGAGTCTGAAGATAATGACATGTTTGGTCTTGGTGTTCTCGACGGTCCTATAGCACCGCGTAGCCGATGTGTAGTTGGGCTCATAACCCTAACGGAATCCGCACTCGAACGCACTCACAAACAACTTGTTGATTTTAAGGTAAATCTAGGACTGCCTGTACTGCACTAATGACTTCCTCAGACAATCATTCTAGAATCTTCTTAAACTTACTTCTTCAACTTCAACTTACCTCTTCAACTGCAACTTCAACTTCGACTTACTTCCTCTGTATCTAAAGTAGGTGCGGTTTTCAACAAGTTGTATCAGTGGAGGAGGCACTGTCTTAGCATCATAGACTTCCCACCAACGTAGTACTCTGTATATCACACCGAATACGCGTTGGTTGTGGCCGAACTACCTGAGAGATGACGTTGCTGCGAGTGGGTCTTCTGCGCCTACCTCTTTAGTAAAAAGGGTCTCCTAAAGAGAAAGACGACGAAATAGAAGCGTGCTGCAATTGCAACACGAGGTAACGTATTCACTCTCCAAGTCAAAAGTTATGATTGTTATCAAAAACTAAATGCACAAGCAAAAAACAATAAGTAACGCTCGACGAGCTTAAACCAAATGTATTCAGATATGTCAGCATTAGCCGGTGCCGAATGTCTGTCCCTGAAGGACCTTCCGGATCAGAGATGACCTCTAGTGAAGGTGTATTACTGAAGTCATGTTTACACAAGCAAGGAAAATTCCTCTAGAATATTTACACAAAAGACGCTCCAGGAGTTGTATCATTGGAGGAGGCATTGTCTTAGCATCAGAGACTTCCCACCAACGTAGTACTCTGTATATCACACCGAATACGCGTTGGTTGTGGCCGAACTACCTGAGAGATGACGTTGCTGCGAGTGGGTCTTCTGCGCCTACCTCTTTAGTAAAAAAGGGTCTCCTAAAGAGAAAGACGACGAAATAGAAGCGTGCTGCAATTGCAACACGAGGTAACGTATTCACTCTCCAAGCCAAAAGTTATGATTGTTATCAAAAACTAAATGCACAAGCAAAAAAACAATAAATAACGCGCGACGAGCTTAAACCAAATGTATTCAGATATGTCAGCACTAGCCGGTGCCGAATGTCTGTCCCTGAAGGACCTTCAGGATCAGAGATGACCTCTAGTGAAGGTGTACTACTGGGGTCATACTTTACACACGAAAAAGGAATTCCTTAAGGTCAAGAGTAGACGCCATGACGGTGTCACAGATGGATGTCGTCAGCGAAGCATAAATATAGATAAGCTCCCACGTGGGATGCGCTTCTAAAGAGACTCACGTCCAATCTTAGTACAATTAAACAATCAGTAGTGAGAGTTATATTATTAATTTTCTGTTGAATATAAGTAAGTCTTAAATTTGATAACTATCGCTCACTGCCCACGGGAAGCTAAATAAGCTTTGACGTGTCGTAAGTAAATGATTTGTTATAAATTCGTTGCGCGGTTCGCTTCAGCAACCGGAAACCGATGGTACGACTGTACAAGCGGTCGACCAAGCATCTCACCACCGCGCACGTAATTTAGGCATCTAGCCGCTTCCTCACGATGCTTGAAGGTTTGTAACAGCGTATCACGTGAAAGCTTCTCTTAAGTGCCCCTCTACACTTAATAGCACTAGTAGTCCTTCCCACGACCCGTCTCTATGTGCGTGCGTGCGAGTGCGGATGGCCCTCAGTATGGATAGGGCTGATTATCTTCACCTCTTCAAACATCATAGAGATTTGGCTGAGCTTTGTTTCAGGGACTTGATAAACAATCCCTGGCCATCCTCTTAGATTTTCCTACTAAGAAACATGTTGCTCAGTTGGAATAGGTCGAAGCGTTTGTGATCGGACAGCGTAGAAACGCGTTCGAGACAAACAGCCAAGATACGGCTGAGTCCATCGAAAAAGACTCAGGATAAACTTTTGCGTAAGCAGCTCGAAACGAGGCGCTCAACAGACTGTTGAGACGCTCTCTACCCGGTCTAATTATCCGAGGATCAATTGGACCGTCGGTTGCAATCACCATCTTTCTACGGACTAATCCTCGACCACGTCTGGAACATCCTGAGTCGACATACTTCGAGGTTCCATGTATCGTCCGCCGGCGAATATTCCAACTAGTGAGCTCTGTAATGTTTGTCGACATGATTCTTCGTAGGTGCCGAGTGACCACTCGGCGCATGAAAGTTATGATCCTCGTGATCGACAATACGTTCGACAATCCAGCGTCGCGCACCGGATGCATCAATTATAGAAGGAGGAGAATAACGACGGAAGACCTCTGACGATTTGCACCGATTCTCACAATCGAGTTTCTGTACAGTCGAATGACGAGCTACGTATATCTTCGCGCTGAAGCCGAAGAGTCAAAGAAAGCCTTTCTTGATGCTCGCTTGATGGATGAGAGATATCGGTATCGTGCGTTTGCTGCAACTGAGACTGCTGATCGGACTCGACGTGAGCATCTGGCACTGGTTGGGCGCCTACGTCAACTTGAGACGACTGCGTTCGGAGAACCCTAACAGATCGAGTCTGCACGCATTCAGGCAGGACTTGGTTCCAGTGGTTGTCAGCGTCGTCGTCAAGGGATGTCGAATTTTGAGCCGTCACAGAAGAGCGGGGAAGATTTGAAAGGAGATTCGCCGGAAGGTAAGCCTTGAGGCGCTCGACGTAGAACGTCGGGTGCAAACGCATAGATGTAGGTATGTCTAGCGTGCAAGCGTCACCATGCACTTTAACAACCCAAAATGGGCCAATATGTCTTGGCGCTAACTTATTAGCGCCCAAATTCGTCACTGAGGTGTTCAGTAATCCACTTGTTTATAATAAAGTGTCTGTAATTTTATCAACACCTTCTCGAAATGTTAACATATTCTTTCGACCTCTTTTGTTGCGCTCTTCTTTTGCTTGTCAACTGCCTCTTGTAATGCATCACGCACAAAACGCTTGATTCCTTGTCGTAATAGCAGAAATTCGGTTCTTGCAGCCAAACTTACAGCGACGTATTTTCTTTTGGGGCAAAATTAGCAACGGGAGGCGCGATGGAATGCATCGTGTAAGGAGTCGATATGCCGTTGGCCACAAAATTACCAGTATTAGGTGCATCGGCAGCAACCTTATGCGCATCGTAATTAATCATCAATAGTTTCGGCGCAAATCCACCCGTAGATACTCCCCCACCAAGCTTGGAGACAGGGTGTACGGAAGCTGAGAGAGCAAGCAGCGCCGGAACGCGAGGATGCCTCGCGTTGTTAACGGAAAAGGGCGTCAACCCGGTTGACGCATGGACAGCATTGTTGATTGCAAACTCTTGAAGTTAAAGAAATGAACTCCATGACGAGAATGATGTTGCATAACTGCGCAAGACATCTTCGAGCACTCCGTTCACACGCTCCGTTTGCCCATCCGTCTCTGGATGGGCCGCCGTAGACATAAGCAACCGCGTGCCTAATAGCTGGAAAAACTAGGCCCAGAAAGCCTAAGTGAGACACGGGTAATGGTCCGAAACAATAGACTCTTACAAGCCGTGATGTCTGAAGATAGGATCAATGTAGATCTTTTGTTGTTGTCTCCGGCGTAATGTGGGCGAAGATCGGAGCAAAATGCACCATTTCGCTAAATAGGTCCACTAATATCAAAACGCCAGTGCGTTTCTGTTTATCCGGTGGAAGGTCAAAGATAAAATCCATGCTAACCGAGCGCCAGGCTTCCGTAGCAATCGGAAGCGGACGCAATGGGTCTTGTGAAGACGGCGCGGTCTTCACACGCTGACAGGTTTCACAGGAGCGCACCCATTTCTGGATGTATTTATACATTTGCGGCCAGAAAAATACGCGATAAATAGCTGCAAACGTCTTTTCGCGACCCAGGTGTCCGCCATCTGGGCTGTCGTGAAATTCATGAACCAATCGGGCTCGAGGGTCGTCATCAGCAGGGATGACGACACGCGGGGAATCAAAGACGTCCATCGTGTACGTCAGCAACGGACCGTCAAGCGCGTAACGCTTGATGTTGTCGCGTGTTGGTTTCGTCAACTTCGCGAGTAATTTTTCGCTCGGGTCCCTGAGATAGTTGATGATTACTGCATAGAGGTAATCATTCGCGTAGGATTCAGCGATCTAAGTTCGGATCGAAAGCACGGGGTTCGAAATCATCGCATTAAGTCCCAGCTCAATACAACACACACAGATATCTTCGTCTTCATCAACATACTCCGTTTGATGACCCATATCACGCCGAGGATCGTAATCAGGACGACGAGAAAGCGCATCGGCGAGAATGTTATTCTTGCCAGGCTTGTAATGCACCACAAAATTATACTCGGCAAAAAGTGACAACCACCGTGCCATACGCTGGGACAAGTGAGGACTCTTGACGGCGGTTCGCAATGATGCGTGATCTGTGTAGATAGAAAACATCTTTTCACCGAGCAAATATACTCTAAACTTGATTAGCGTGTACCGCATAGCCAAAAGTTCCTTGTCGTGTACCGGATAATTTTTCTCGGCAGGTTTCATCTGTCGTGATTGAATACTTACGACGCGCTCTCGACCCTCGTCATCAAATTGCATGAGGGCACATCCTATAGCGAAATTGCTCGCGTCACATACGACATGGAATGGCTTAGAGTCATCAGGTAACATCAGCACCGGTGCCTCGGAAAAGCTCTTCTTTACGGAGTCGAAGGCAGATTGATGTTCTGCCGTCCATAACCATACTGCATCTTTCTTGAGCAAAGTCGATAATGGCTGAAATAGCTCAGCATAGTTCTTTGTATACTTATGCAAGTAATTCGCCATACCGAGCCATTGACGTAATTCCGTTTGGTTCCTGGGCGTTGGCCAGAAACAGATCGATGAGATCTTCTCAGGATCAGCGCGGACACCTTCCTTGCTGACGTAGCAACCGAGACTAGAATCTCGGGAGCGCAGAAGTCACATTTCTTCAAATTAGCATACAATTTATTCTCGCGCATAACTTGAAACACCTGCTTCAAGTGTCGAAG